ACACTCAGGCTACCTCTGTTCTGTTTTGCTATAATACGCAAGCATATGGTTTTATTTGTATGGAAAATTGTGTTTGCTCTCAGCGATGGTGTGAGTCCATTAATTGAGGGAGCTGCACATCTCCTATCAGCAGCCCGAAGACATGAAGAATCATTTTTCCTCTTTCCACGCCATGCCATTATATCCACATCAGAGTTAATCTTTACAATTTATTAGCTATCAAGTTTTCCACTGATTTGTATCCTGAAACATTGCTGCTTTCTGCTGGTAGATTGTACAATAATATTACATATTGTAATATAAAATGTACTGTGTTGCATCAGCATCAATACAATAAACAGTATTCACACAAATACAATGCAACTTAATGGTTATTATATAATAATATCAATAATAATAGATATATAGTTTATCTAGTGTTAAAAGTGAGCATTATGATACAATTGGATAGTTTTGCCAGCCACTGGGAAACGTATGCAGTATACAGAGTGAAAGGGATTTTACAATACTTGTAATGATGTAAAGATGAAACAGACTGCTGGGTGTGTTGAAAACATATTGCTAGCACATTTTAATCTTCTGCAATAAGAGCCATCTTTGTTGATGGTCATTCAGCAAAGTGGAACCTTTCCAAACCTCAAGGGGTCAGGCAAAGTGACATCCTGCCTTCATGTCACTTTGCCTGATGAAGGGACCCCACTAGTTCTAAAGCGTTCCACTTTGCTGTATGACAGTATGAACGATTGTAAATAAATATGGTTCTTATTGCAGAAGATTTAAGTGTGCTGACAATTTATTTTCATCCAATTACAGTTGCTTCAGCACCTTGTGCAGAGGCGGCTCTATAATTGAGCAAATTAGGTGGTTGCCTGAGGCCTCACGTTCACAGGGGCCTCGCAGCTGCCTAATTTGCCTACCTAATTTGACTAACTAGCTTTTTTTTCTGTACTGTTCTGGAGGATGAAGAGCGGCCACAATGTGAGCTGATGACCGGCGATAAGGCTTGGGTCAGCTTAATATTTCCGGTGGCTGCACTGCACTGGAAGGAAAGGCGGAGTGATATGAACCACACTCCGCCTCTCCCTGCAGACTGGATGTATCCTTGGTGGCAGTCGCACTCGGGAGAACAGAGCTGTGTGGAAGTCTGGAAGAAGAGCGACGCCATAGCCTGATTGACTGCTCACTGTGGTCATCACTGTGCTGAACTGCTGTGGACTGTAGAAACAGCAGTGAGTGGAGAGAAGTTGTACAGTGTAAGCCACCTTGGAAAAGGTAAATTATTGATGATTGGCATTTGAACTGGCAATGTTGCAGGACAGAGGGCTTGTCTATTAATGCTGCTTGAATGTGGGTCTCTCTGTGACCCACATCTAGATTGGACCATCTCTTATCTGGTTTGAACTGTATGGGGATGTCCCTTTGCTCAATAGATGGGGATATCTCTTTGTTAAATATATGGGGCATGTTTCTTTGCTGGATATATGGGGATGTCTCTTTGCTGGAAACTATGAACTCATAGTTCATAGGATGTAAGGCTCTTAATACATGCAATTTATACAGCTAATTTTTATTGTTTGAATTATTTTTTCCATTATGAGCGTGAGTGCGGCCTCATGTCTAAGGTTTGCCTAAAGCCTTACAAATCCTAAAGCCACCTCTTCCTGGGTGTCCACCAGTCTGGTGTGTGATGAAGATATAGAAATCTAAAAAGAACCAGTTGTGGTTGAGACTTTGGGAGCACAACCAAAACAATGCAAAAACAAAAATAAAAGAGTATTGCAAAAAATGTATAAAATTCATAAAACACAAGGAAGATAGCTATGCCTTTACCGTCATTAAACACTTATACAAACTGTCCACTCCATTTGACATATGGAATGTCCAAACATTTCACATTAGACAAAGTAGATGGCTTCATGTGAGCTGACCCAACATGTTTCATTTGAACATCTTCTTCTGGGTTTGGAGAGAGGAATAGCCTCATATTTATACAAACCAAGTGATCAATAGAGCCCAATAATACTCTGGGGTGTACACCTTCCTTGTGTTTTATAGATTTTATACAATTTTTTTTATAGTAAACCTATAAGCCTTTAAACAGCATGAAAAAAATAGTTTTGTTTTTGCATTGTTTTGGTGGTGCCCTCAAAGTCCCAAGCACAGCTGTTTTTTTTTTTTTGTTTTTTGTTTTTTTTTATTTGGGGATGTTGGCACCTATGAATTTGCAACTATCCTGGTATTTTGCTGTGTGATGAAGATATCTCTCAATCACACAGACTGTTGGAGGTGTCACACTCAGCTTCAGTTATCTTCCAAAGTACCTAAATAACTTTGAAACCAGGGCCACTTAATAATATGTCTTTTACGTTCATCCAGGACGCTGGTACTTTTGTAAGCATTTATAAGCAGCAGGGCCCTCCTAACCCTCTTTTTTAACTACTTTGTATTTGTAAAGTGCTGCACAAATTATGAATAGCTCCCATCCCTTGCAGAGCCCCAGGCATATGTGTGAGTATTTCAAACTGCCTCCTGGGATGTCTATGTCACACATCTCAGGAGACCGTTTGTGAGACTCCGCACAAGTGCAGATACGTCTCTCAGGGACCTGCAATGTGTCTGGGCATACACAAACAAAATTAACAAGGAGAAAGGGGAGAGAAAGGAGTGGCGACCTTGCTAAAGCGGGTGTAGGTCCGTTTTAAAGAAGTTAAAGATTTGCTTTGACCTAAATTGGTTGTTAACATTTTAAAGCTTTGTATTTCAGCTACACTATAAAATAATGCAAAAGAAAACATCCGCTTTTAAATGTAATTGAAAAATTTTATGCAAAACATGTAGCAGGTTAAATAGGGGGTCTGTAGTTTTTAGTAGGTCAGGATACGTATAGACATTCTAAGAAGGAACAGCAAAGCGCAACCACTGTGTGTTACTGCAAAGCTGGATGCAGAGCCTTTTGCCAGATACACACGGGCTGAATAACATCCAAAATCATCCGGCACAGTAGAAACCGGACAGCTCCCTGTCTGACAGAATCAGGTCACACGACTGGCTTCTGTCAAATGGGCATACTGGAAAACCAGCATTTGATTGGCATCCGATCAGCACCAATGGCTGCAAGCACTGACCTGTGTGTTCTGGCAGTCCCCTAGTCAGACGGAGATTGCAGGGGGGGGGAGAGCAGGGGAGATTGCTGTATTAACATTGCTTGTGTTAGTACACCGATCTGTCAGTTTTTTTTTCATTTAGCCCACTGGGTTGAACAAAAAAAAACTCATAGTGTGTACTAGTCATTTAACTGGTTCTAAAGGCTCAAGGTTTTTTACGTTCATGCATTCTTTTCATGAAGGTAAAAAAAACCTTCTGTGTGCAGCAGTCCCCCCAGCCCCCCCCCCCCAATACTCACCTGAGCCCCATCCTGATCCAGCGATGTCCAAGAGAGTCTCAGCTTGCCAGGGACTCTCCCTCCTCAATGGCTGAGACATTGGCTGAGCCATTGGCTCCTGCTGCTGTCAATCACAGCCAGTGAGCCAATGAGGAGAGAGATGGGGTGGGATTGAACCCAGGCTCTGTGTGTGAATGGACACACAAAGCAGCAGCTCAGCAGCATGCCTGTTAGGGTGTCTCCACAGCAAGCTGGAGGGGCCAGGAGTGCTGGCAGGAGACCCCAGAAGAGGGAGATCGGATGGTGCTCGGTGCAAAACCACTGCACAGAGCAAGTAAGTATAACATGTTTGTTATAAAATATAAGTATATAAATAAATATATGTATATTAAAAAAAAACTGATTTTAGTATCGCTTTAAGCCCAGTGCACTCAGCGGGCTGAATGAAAAAAAACCTGAGAGGTCGCCGTACTAACTATGCGATTGTTAGTGCAGTAATCTCCCCTGCTGAGATACTGTGTTCTGATAGCTGCCACTCTTCCCCCCGCCAGATCGCACTGATAATTGCTCACAGCCATTGGCCGAGAGTGCTGGTTGGATGCTGGTCAGATGTGGGTTTTCTTTCATGTCCCTTCAACAAAAGTCACTCGTTAGATTGTCTTCTGTCAGACAGGCAGCAGTACACACTGTGTGAATGTCAGCTGGCCGATATTCAGATTGTGTGTACCCAGAATTAGTACGTAAAAAAGGCAGGCAGATCGATCTTGATCACATATATAATTATTGCTCGTGGAGGTGCATAGCCAACATGTTTCAGTGCAATTACAGTGTCCCCATCATCAGAGCTGTTTGCTTGGAACTTTTGTTCCAAGCAGATGCGGGGGGGCTGATGATGCGTGAGACGTGTACACTCAGCATCAAAGATAAAGAATACTGCACAGGCACCATGATGTAGATGAAACATCTCTGAGCCAGACTTTAATCCAGGTAGTAGATGTTAACCCAGGGTGATGCCTTTCAAGAGAAGAAAGGAAGATGGAGGCATTTTCAGAGGGAGCACGGTGGTCTCTCTGAGAGGTAATAAATATATGTGAATCTTACTCATATGAATTACATGTGCTACATAAAAAAATACAGATGGTGTGACAACCAGTTTTAAAGGTAACAAGCGGTGATTTATATGAATGGCCTTGAACAATTGTGCACCTGTGGGGCCTGCCGTAATAATCTTCCCAATTCAGCCCACATATAGTTATGAAAATGATGCTGTAATATGGATATATCAGCTTTGTAATAAAATGTAGGAAAAACCTCCATGTGCAATAATGATCAGACTGGTACCTTTACATAGCCGGATTGTTGCTGAAAGTGTTGCTTAGATAAGTAGCAGCCAATTTAACAATCTCATATATATCCATGTACGTGGCTACCCACGTTGATCCTTTGATAGAAACTGAAGACCTAATTGCTTCTTGTTCAAAGACCATGTTTTATTAATCTGTGCTCACAAATGTCCTTTGAAAACATCAGCTTTGTTTAGCTAATAGGGTCATGTGATGTCAGCATGTGATGTATGCTGTGCAGTTTTCTCGTTTGCTTCTGTTAATTGACCAGAGGAGATAACAGTGTTTTCTTGTTTCCTTGGATAGGCATCTCTGTAAGTGTGTCAACGTTTAATCTGGTTGCCATATCTCTGGAGAGGTACAGTGCAATTTGCAAGCCATTACAGTCACGAGTGTGGCAAACAAAGTCACATGCCTTGAAAGTAATTGCGGTTACTTGGTTCCTGTCCTTTACGATCATGTTACCATACCCAATTTACAGTACATTGGTGCCATTTCCAAAGTCTGAGAATGTGACGGGCAACATGTGTAGGCTGGAGTGGCCCAGCGACCTCACACAACAGTCATGGTAAGTGTGGAACATTAGTATACCATACATTTTTATATATCATGATATCAACATTCCAGCAAGAAATACATTCATTGGCACAGCTCAATTATTGTTTCTTCAGTTTATTTTGTAGTAGAGGTACATTACTGTAAAATAAATACTAAAGAGGCACCATTGCCTTGCCAATGCAGGGTACAGTGACAGTGTCCCAGTAAAGGTCCTCCCCAACCCTGTATACTCACCTTGACTGTGTTCCTTTGATGTTCTTCTGAGTATGGGGAACATCTGACCTGCTGTCCTGTGATAGTGCTCAAACCTATTGCTATGACCAAGGAAGTGACATAACGTCTCCCCAGGTCAGCAACATTGCTGATTTCAGTGTTGGTATAGATGGAGTAAGGAGCAACAAGGAAGCATGAGCAGAGTGAGAAAAGGCTGGTCAGGGGTGTCCTTTGCAAATACAGTGTCACTTTGCTCTGCATTGGCTTGGCTTGGATTATCAAATGCTGCATATTTACCGTTTCCAGATTCTAGCCAAACATATTTTTTTGCTTGAATTAATGAAGACCGTGGGGAAGGGCTAGAATTTCTATTCGATTTTGTTGATGTCCCTAGTAGGGAGATTTTCCCTCATTTTCTGTGTAGGGCAACACAATCTCTGGGGTAGGAAGTGATGGTTGCAGTCAGTGATAAAATCTAAACAGAGGTTTCAAACTTCCCCCACCTCTGGGACAAGAAATAAGGTGAAATTCTTAAATGGTAACATAAACAGCAATGGAAAAACTCTAGACCTTTCCTACACTGTCCACAATGGAAAAAATATTTTGACTTGAGTTCCACTTCAGAGCTGTTCTATCAGTACAATTAATATAGTGTCTGCATAATTTATATTAGTTACCCCATGCTGGTAAATTAAACAATTTTATCAGCAATTAATATTGAATGAGTTTTACCTCCACTGTAATTACAATGCAGTATTGCTGTGCCTCCTGGTGTCCTTCATGGCTGATCTAGCCAGGCCAGTGGACTCTCATGCCATAGCACAGGACTGTCTATTCCCTGCCAAGTGTTTGAGTTCGCTGTCTGAGAGTGGGAGTGCGGCGGCACTGTGTGTAATGGTGATTAGCATCCAAATAAGAACTCATCAGCTGCCATAAGTATGCTTTAAATTTGCCAATTATCTCTTTAGCCTTAAATCCTCCAGTTCATCCTCTAATGTAAGCTAAGCTACTTATTAGATCTTTCCTTTTTCTAAACACTTCTTTTGCCACTCCTATAGCCTCTCACACACATAAAAATTAGACCTGGCCAGAATGTCTGTTTCTGAAACATTTAGGACCTCATCCTGCCAGATCATAGTAAGGACATTAGAGAAAAGCGTCATTATGGTCACTTTCATTAGCCAGTGTGGTCATTTTATGACTGCATTTGCTGTCCAAGTCATGCAGTATGTAAGTGGATATCTAGAGGCTGTGGGGTGTACCACATATATGGATCAATGCATGGCAAATGCACTGCAGGGATAATTTGTCTGTATATGAACATTTTTAGATGATCACAGTTAGTGAGGTTAAATGGCTGTGTACAACAAAACAAGGATCCATATACAGTTGAAAGCTACCTTCTCCTTCTGTCCCTCCCAGCAGCATTCAGTAGCTGCAAGAGGAATATGTTCATTATGCTATTCGAAATAAAAAAATTTGAAATTCTGAACCATTTCATTTCATTGTGGCCTGCGACTGGTTACCAAATCACCCACGTGGCCCTTGCTCTTCAAAGGGTTGAGTGCCCCTCATGTACAGTGTTTAAAAAGAGTGAGAGAGGGCCCAATAAGAGTGCAGAATTTCTAAGAGTTTCTTGAAGTTTTTGATGCAATACAGTCCCAGTCTAAGAAACCTTTGGATGTGCTGCACATGGACATCTAAAAAGAGTGTTTCCCTATTACAGAAGAGCTATCACCATTGTCCTCAGGAGACAGATGTAAATACAAATCTTCAAACGCTATATAAAGCTTGAATTTCACCTAATTCCTTCTGAATCACCCAAAATTCAAGGTGTAGGTGAGCCTAGACAAAAGTTGGTTGAGAAATTGAAGGAGCCAGGTGGAAAAATTGTTGGCCATACAGTGACTACTACATCCTGTCAAATTCAGTAACTGTCCAGGTATTTAGACAACCTGTCTGAACACAATAGTCAGCAGGGGAGAGAATCAAGAAACAATTGATTTCTCTCATTAAGCCAATGGGAGCATACAGCTACTGACACCTTCGAAAAATACTAGTTACCTGCCTGCCTTTGCTTTCTGATTTACTGACACATGCATTCAACTTGACACTGATTTGCATGCTTGTTCCAGGTCGATGACTCGAAAAGTACTGAACTAGCAATAAAACCTGACAATTAGCATTTTAGACAGCAGAAAGGTGGTTAGAAAATAGCAGCTTATACAATACCTCACTACCAGTTTCCTTTAAAATAGTATAGGTTATCTTTTCTCAATATATCCAGGGGGGGCTGCAGTAACATTGCATAGTGCAATGATCCCTCTGGCAGTTAATGGTCAGCATTGTCTCACAACTTGAAGTCCATGTTTTCCAGTAGAACTCAACTACTCATTATCTTATCCCATGTTCTGGTGACATATGCACTTTTTTTACCAGTACCACAAAATTATTAGAAATGTTTTTCAAATGATCCCTTATGTTTTTACATGACTGAGATCAGTTATGAGTCTTTTTTTTTCTGTGATTTATTTGCTGCAACTATTGCTATACATTTTCTGTCCTAGCTAGAAGCACTATTTGAATTTGTCAAAAGTACCCCACCTGGAAACTGCGCTGTACAGTGTACTAATGATGCCCTAAAAACAGCTGTCTAGTCCACAGAGATGCTACCCATATTAACCAATCAGTCTCTAGATGTTAGCTCTCCAACATGGGAGAATTTCACCAGCACACCGAGGATCACCAATATGGGTCCAAAAGTTTTAATAAACGATCACATAGTTAAAAAAAAGGCAACGTTTCGGAGTCTGTGACCTGATGAAGGCACTGCAACACCCACTTATAAACACAGCCATTTTTAATGCAGGAACGTGTGCGTTTGGATTGTACACTTGCATTCCAGGCTCTCCAACATGACTCAGACTCTCTAATATGACTCCAACATGATACAGAATACTCCACTCCTGTAAAAACATAGTAATAATATATGAATGATCTCCACTCCTGGGCTTTTCTTTATCTTTCCAGTTTAAAACCTAAATGAACCATCTGTTTAGATCTGCCAGGTGCATCAAAACAAAAAGTGTGCAATGTTTTGCAGTTCATTTTCTTTAGAAAGCAGCCACTGTCTAAGTAGAAAAGCCTGTCCCCTGCCAGTATGTTGCAGAGAAGGACCAGTAGTCTCTCTGCAGAGGTCTGACAGGCACCCTGATGAGTCAAAGCTAGAATTCTCCAATAAGCTAGAAGCATGAGATTTACTGATTGCAGAAATGTAAGTCTGACACAACATTGTTGGACCTTTGCAGAGAAATCACTGCTTCGCCGATTTAGGGTGTAACTAAAGGCTCACAAACAAAAAACGTTTCCCCCTACTCTAAGTGATTGTTCCTTTCTGTTGGACTGGTGCCATGCAGTGTACATTATTCTTGGCATGCTGAGACTAGAGTTAGGTGCCAGAACCAGTATCCCCTGAATTGGTATAGCATCACTTCATCAGTGACCACCCAATGACCATAGACAGAAGATTGTAGCATGACTTGGATGAAGCAGCAGCAGGGGACACAGCAGTGATGAGACCCTGGAAACATCATCACTGGTTGCAGGGGTGACATCATGTGTAAGTATACTGTGTATGCTGTATGTACTTGCACATTATGTCAAGCATTCACCCCACCAATGAAGGTTTAATTCAGCCTAAACCTGAAAGTTCAATTGGGTTTTAAATCATCTGACAGTTAAAGTACACCTGTCAGTACCGGCATATGGGGCTCCCACGGCAAAATCAGAAATTACATTTGCCAGCTATGTTTGGCTTCTGTGCTTTTTGCAACATAGTTACAGGTCCAGAACAAGGCTGGAAAAAATGAAAATTGAAAGTCTATTCTTGTTTCAGAATAGTGACTTGGAAATGATCAGGGTCCTTTTGCACAGGCCATGTCCAGTCTGCTTGTCTGTGAACAGATTCCCTGTTGAATTGGAACAGAAGATGGCTGTCACTTTTGTGATTTATAGGCGGTCAGATAAAAATGCACTTGCATCCATTTATATTGGGCCACCTTTGATCCATCATTTTTAGATGTGCAAAAACTGAAAAGGAAACAGTTCATTTCAGTTTTTTTGGGATATGGATGTAAATGCGAATGTAAATGGGCGCAGGTCTGTTTATGTCCATCTACCCAAAGACGTTCGTGGAGCTTCCGATCAGGTTATCCTTCAAAAACAAAATGTGAAAGGAGCTTTAGCCCTGGTTCACACTGATGCCTTTCTAATGCTGTTCATTAAACTGCAATACAAATTAATAAAACATGAGTTTCTATGGATCCCGTTCACATACATGCGGCTGCGATCCAATTTTGCAAAGGGTCCTGTGCAAATTTGGTGCGTTACAAGGCAATTTTCAGGTCCATAGACTTCAATGGAAATGATTTAAAATTCAAGCACATTTTCTCCCCATTCTTTGCTCTGTTCACACAGCACAGAAAATGCAACTGTATCCAAATTGTGTTCAAATTGCATCATAACCATATTGGAACAGCACGAATCATCTCTAATGGCATCGCACTGCAACCTTCCCTTGAAATCATACTGAAAAAACTGATCCAAATGGCAGCAGTGTGAACCTAGGCTTAATGGCGAAGGCCAGGTGGCTAGCATTTCCAGGAGAGCTTGGTGATGACAACCTCAATATTTCTTTTAGGACAGCTTTCCTGTAAATGGTCTATTTCCATATGTATTGAGGGAAGTTCAGGAGAAGACTATGTCATGCCCTAGGAGGGAGTGATGTCGGAGGGTCTGGTACACTTGTGACAAGTTACTTCTTATAAATCTGCCTTTCTGTATGCTGTTGTTATTCCTAAGTCACTAATAATTGAACAATATCTCTGATTTCTAGGTATATCTTCCTCTTGTTAATCCTGTTCCTTCTTCCTGGGATTGTAATGACTATTGCATATGCATTTATATCTTTGGAGCTGTACAGAGGAATCAAGTTTGAGGTGAACCAAAAGAAAGGTATGTACTGCTATATACTAAGGAGAATTAAAGAGGATCTAGGACCCCATTCACACCTGAGTGTTTTGTAGCTTGAAGCCAAAATGCTTGAGGAGCAAAAATTGATTATTCTCAATAGAGATGGTTCACATCTCCACTCCAAGTCGCCTGAAGCCAAATGCCTGGAGCTTAAACAAGTTCTGGAGCTTTTTTTTGTAGCTCAAACTGGGCAGATTTGCTCATTTTTTGGCACGTTTTTATTCCCATACAAATGACTGGTAGTGTGCGATTTGCGCATTTTGCTGCACAATTTTCAGCTCAAATGAAAAAATTTAAAAACCTAGTAATAATATATAAAATAAACAAATGTAAAATAAATAAAATAGTTACACAAATAAAAATCATAATAAATAAATAAACTATAATAATAAATAAATACACCTTAACCCCCAACCCTAAAATAAAAAATATATGAAATAAATTATTATTAGTATTATTATTAGTATTATTATTATTAATAATAATATTATTATTAATAATAATAAAAAAACCCAAACATGTACCAAAAGTTAATATTATTATTATTATTATTATTGCTAGTATTATGATTATTATTATTATTAGTAGTAATAATAATAATAATAATACCGTATTGTTATTATTTTATTTATTTTGTGTTTAGGGTGTTTATTTTATTATTTCTATTATTATTATAATATTAATGTTATTATTACTTAATATTATATTAATAATAATATTATTATTAATAATAATAATTTCGGGTTTTTTTAAGGGTCAGGGGGTTAAGGTTAGGGGTTAATTATTATTTATTTAATATTACATATTATTAATTTATTGTATTTATTTATTTAGGATTGTTTTCATTTATTTGTATATTTATTTTACATTTACTTATTCGTGTATTATTATTATTATTACTATTAATTATATTATTAACACCCCAACCCTGAAAAAATAGAAATAAATAAATAAGAAGACGACCATAAATAAAATATTAACCCCTACCCCAAAACCTAACCCATAATCCTAACCTTAACCCCAACCTCTAATTCTAAACCTAACCTAACCTTAACTCCAACCCCTTTCCCTAACAAAAAAAAGAATATTAATAATAATAATTATTATTATAATAAAAAAAGAAATAAAAGCTGAACAAATAATGCACCAGATAATATTTTTCTCTATTGGCTAATAAAAAAAAACACCAAAGCTCAAACACGCCAAAAAACATTGTATAAAAAGCGTAAAATCACATACAAATTGTGCCCATAACCACGTGCAAAAATGCCTGAAAATCACTCAAGTATGGATGCAGCCCTACTACTGTAGATGAACTCAATAGATAATCTTACTAGAAATGTTTGTATTAGGAAAACAGTTTTGTGTATAGTTTGTAATTATCTGTTCATAAGGGCAGCCTTTCATTATCTCATTAGTAAAGCCTTCCTGACAGCAACGGAGATGTGGCAGTCTCCAGTAATGTCAAATGCCCACAATCCACCTTGCAGCCAGATACTTTGTCCTTTATGCTTAATGTGGTAATAAACCCAAAAGCAAATATTTATTATATTGCAGCTTACCATCTCTCAGATGTGAAGGCTGCATTCATTTTCTTTTTTAGGCTTTCTTTCTTCTATTTTCATCTGGTGATCCAGGCAGCAAATCTGATTTTAAAAGCATGAGCTCTCCAGCAGAATGCATCCGTTTACATTGACAAACCTTTCAACACAGACAGGGATGGTTAAAACGATCACCTGTTATTTATTCATGTAAAATCTTTATCCCAACAGGAAAAACTGTTTGTTGTAACTGCTTAGAAAGTGTGATCTGGAGATTGGCTTCAGTTTGTTAGTGTATTTATGTCTGCTAATACATTTAACACTACCCTCCCCCCAGACAGACAAAGCTACGGTCCAGCAGTTCCCACCTGTGCTCATTCCTGGTGTCTCACTAATGCAGGCGTTGTGTTACTGGCCAGGTCACCAGGTGAAAACAGAGGGGAAAAAGTCTACAAAAAGAAATCTAATGCAGCCACCACATTTAATGATTGGTAAGCTGCAATATAATACATTTTAGATTTTGGGTTTATGTCTGAGCTGTAATGGAGTTCAGAGCAGTGTTTTTATTCATTCCAAAATAGAAGACATTTATTAATCAATAATATACTGTTATATGGAAATGCTGACATTGCTCCAGTGATTTATGTAAACAGTGATTATTAAATGACAGGCCCACATTAACCCCTTGATGCCGACATCACACAAATATGCGGCCTCACAGAACTGGGCTTTTTTCAGTGGGGCCGCATATTTGCATACCTGTCTTTGTGCTGGGAGCACTGTGCGGCACGCTCCGAGCACAAAGACCATGGTGTCAATGATAGCCCCAGGTCCCGTTCTACGATCGGGATCGGACCTGGGACTCTTGATTCCGGGTCACATGATCGCTGTCATAGCCTCTGATTGGCTATCACAGTGATCAGTCACTGTGCTGCCCGGCCCCCTTGCTTTTTTCTCTCTCTATCAATGGAGAAGAGAAGTACATTGTATCTCTCTAACTCCTGGCATAGAGAGAAAAAAAATGTTTGTAAAAAAAAAAAAAAAAAGATTATATAATTAAATAAGATAAATAAAATAAGAAATAAAGAAAAAATACCTAGATCAAGGTTTGATCTAGTTCAGTGCCGGGGTTAGTGTTTGGGTCAGGGTCAAAGGTCAAGGTCAAAAGGTCAGGGTCAAAGGTCAGGATTAAAAAAATTGGTGTCAGTTATAGTCAATGTTAGTGTGTGTTTTAGGTAAAAAAAAAAAGACAAAAACAAAATGCACACTATTGTTTCTGGGCTTTACTATGGGCACAAACAACAAATAACATACACATATATTGTATCGCTGCGATCGTCAAGAGCTGGAGAATTTATTTTGGCTTGTTTTTTGTTGGTAGGATATGGTAGTAACAAGAAACACACAGCTAAAAATATTTTTTTTTTACTATTTTGGGCCAGTTTTCCTTTGATAATAAAAAAAATCAGGAAATATCCATTACCATTTACCACCAAATGAAAGCCCAATTTGTCCTGAAAAAAACACAGTATAATTCACCTGGATGTACAAAGTAGTTGTGATGATATGGACAATTTTACTAACACATGTCAACGTTGCAGAATTGTGCTTAGGCTTTTATATTTGTTTTACCCTTAGGCATGAAGGGGTTAAAGTGATAGTCAGGCTTCTTTGATATACGGTAGTTAAGAGATAATACAATACAACCAAAATTCACATTACTCTTAGGTCTCTTGCACACTGCAGCTTGAAAACGCTCAGTACAGCCTTTTTTTTAACTGATCTAAAATACAGCCCATTGTTTACAATGTGCCTGTACACACAGGTGAGTAAACAAGCACTGCGTATTAATGAGTAAAAAAAAAATAGAAAAAATCTGCATCTGCAGTTTTATTTGCAAGTACTCCCAAATACATGCCTATATGCATGAATACGTGAAAAATACGTGCAAATGCCACGCTTCCTGCTTGTGTTTGCATTCTCTAAAATATGTGCAAATATGAACAAGTGATCTACAGACTATGCTCTCATTTTTTTCTACCAGGAACGCATGTTGCTCATACATCAGTGCAGTGTGCAAGAGGCCGTATTGAATACAACTGATAAAAGTGTTGCATAATATACAGTTCACACTGATCTGCAGTATGGGTACAGTTGAGTACCTTACTACCCACCTTCTTCAGCTGTGGATACAGGTTCTTTTTATTTATTTTTTCGCAATCCTGTAGGCTTCCACAACTCCCTGAGTTCCCACAAGGCCCTGGGCCCCTGGACACACCCAGGGATTATAATTCCTGCCTTCACCAGTCCTAAAAGACTGTGCCTGATGAGACAGTTAACTGGACGTGAGATCTGTAGCCAGATGTGTGGTCCTCCATCATTTTATTTGGTGTATAATTTGATGGTTTAGAGCACAATAACATGCAGCTTCAGGAGAAGACCCAGTCAATGCAGAGGGCACTAATTCTACTGTCTCCAGGGTACTGAGGTTCCATTGAGGTAGCCCTTCACCTGCAGACATTCACTCGGGTGTCTAGACCAGAGACTGATCATAACACCTACCTGTGGAACAAATCCAGGGCACCCTCCAGAGAGCCAACTGGACTACCAGAGATAGTCTACCTTCATGTGAGGGAGGTGTTGCGGTGTACATTTTCTGACTTAACTGCCTTTATTGGGAAAATGATTCCAGGCATCTCCCTGTATTGCAATAGTTGCATTACATGTTATTCCTTGTTCTGTTAGCATTGTTTGATTGTTTCTGCTTTTTTTCAGTAAACCATAAGATGCACATTGCTATATATCCAATCATTTGGCTGATACCTCTACATTGCGCCACTATTTGTCCAATTTGTTATTTAACCCCTTCCTGGCTGCTGCCAGTGGCCCTCTAAAAGGGTCTAAATTCTGAGAGGTGGAGTTGCTTGCAGATCACATGACTGCTGTGATTGGCTCTCACAGTGGTCACATGATTGGAAACCCGTTCCACTAGCACCTGATCAGAAGCTGTGACCGAGTGCTATCAGATGGATGCTGCATGGGCAGGTGACAGGTCCTCTTTATGGAGACATTCGGGGTCTATTGAACCCCCAGTGTCTACCCTGCCTTGTAATACAACCACTCAAACACAGACCATGTTTGAATAGCTGCATCCTTGGCTACACTAGGTGAGTGACCAGCTGTGACCCTGCAAGTGACATAATGCACATCACTTCCAGGTTTATTAGCTGCGAGACGGATGCCCCTGTTTTCACCGGGGAGGCAATTTTTTTTCCACAGTCCCAGGCTCCCCAGTGGAACAGTAGAACCCAGGAACCACCACGGGTGCTGCTGGCGGGGGGGGTTCCCCTTTGAGAGCCTCGTAAAGGGATCAGGTGGCTCTAAAGCCAGCCGATCACTTCCATTGGATGGGCCTTCACTGGCTTATAAAGCTGATATCAA